GGGTAGCATTCGTGATTGGTTGAGTCCACGCTCACGTCTTCCCCCTTATCGTCTCGATGTGCGTCCTTGACGTTATGTCGTGCGGCCTTGGCACCGTGGCGCGCGTCCTTGACGTGGCAGCGTGCTCGTCTGGAAACTCACTGCGCCGTGCTTCTTGGTGACGCGAACGGAGGGCAAAATAACAGGACGGTATATCTACATGCCCGTTTATGGAGTCTGACATCCAGGCCTCCAGCAGTTATCGCCCCGATTTATTCCTGGCTCGTGCCATTATCCACGTGCCCGTGAAATCGAATTCGTGAGCTTCTTCCAGAGTATGGGTGGCGATCTGGAACAGTGGGTCGCCTTTCCGCACTGCCCGTTTGTGCTTCGTTATTTGCGAGCTAAGTCGTCACCCGGTCTGCCCTCTAAATGTATCCCTTTCGAAACGTCTCATTTAGTATATAACAGTGGATAGTGACCACCATGGCCGCTGTCGAGCGTTAATTTGGCAGTAGCAACTTAAATGATGTGAGTAGATATAGACCCACGAAGCGAGTACTGTTTGACTGATCGAAATGTGCCTTCGAAGCGTTATATCATGAAAACTTACGTTACATTTGCCTTGCTCTCAAATTATTTAGCTATAAGGGGTCCGGTCTACGTAAAGATTGACCAAACTGAAAGAATACTTGGTGCATAATAAACAGAACAATAAAACTTGAAAATGCGATCATTGCATTTCCAATCAGTGTGTAAAATTGTAGTAAATTTAACACCAATATTTTAGGGTATGGGTAAAGATCCTCCTCAAAAATTTATGTAAACGAGCAAAAATACTAGGTGCATAAAAACTTGAAACGAATTTGCACCTCAGCCTAATGTGCATAGACGAAAATGACATCCAGCTTTACGTTTGCAGGAGCCCCGCTGAGTTCTCCATATTTGGATAGTTAAGGCACCCCAACACCCATAAAAGTGGAGGTGAACTCACGTCAATCACTCTTACGGCAGGATGCGGACGTAGAATTCTTCGGGGGAGGGGGGGGTTATACGTAGCCGATAGAAAAACTCAAAGGAGTTCTAACATCATGGAAAAACAGACAGACAGTACAAATGGTTGGGCAAAACAACACCGGCTAGCCATAACAAAAAATACTGACTTACGGTTGTCTCGGGAGAATAATAGTTTTCCACTGAGGGACTATTGGATCGATTCATCAAGCCCGCGGATATCTCAGCAAGCTGTTGGCTTCGCAATTCAGAGTTTAGTGAGCACTGAGGGGTTTGGTTTGTATTAGCAGATTCACCAAAAGCTCGTAGGTCAGCCTGCGAACTCGGTGCAGAAGAGGCGACTTGACTGAGGGTAGGAGGATTAAGAGACTTTTTTGGATCAAATAGAATTCTGTCCTGGGCAGGACAGAGTCGGGGAAACGTGATGTCTTTTAGACTACCAAATTTATGCTTGGTTGTCTGATCCAAAGAACCGTTGGCGATGCCTGGCAAAGAAGGTGAAGTATGCAAATCGTCTGGTGGTGGCTGAACAACCGGCGAAGGGACTACTTCGGCAGCCGCGCCATCTTCATGCGGAGAGTTCCGTTGGGGATTACTTAACTCCGGGGAGATAACATTTTTTGGCGTCTCGAACGTGGCCAGTACGTCACGCAGCTCTTCGATTTCGTTGATTGTGTTAAGTTCGGCTACATCAAAAGGGTCATCCTTAGGTACGTCAAAGTCCTTTACAACAGCGGGTGCAACCACGACAGTGCCGGGCGTCGGCGTGCTGCCGCTAGCAGAGGGTTCTGCTACAGAAGCAGGAGTTACCGGTCTCAAAGGGCCATCTTCGGTTGCGGCAGGAGGCAGATCAGTCCGCTGTGGTTGAAGAGGTTCTGTTTTGTTGGGTGCAAAACGGTTTACATTATTGAGCTTCAAAGCATCTGCAGCTGCTGTGACCGACGCCACAGCTGCTTCCGCTTGGGCCTTTTCCTCTGCAAGGATTTTGTTGTATGCCTCGATTGTGCGACGTTCCAGAGCAAAGTCATACTAGAAGAGGCAATTGTATAGAGGCTCAAATATTCAGTACGAATCCTTCTGTTGAAAAAATTAGCGAATTTGATGGCAATTTTCGAGGCTTGAAGTATGGAGATTTTAGTAACGTTATGTTTGACAGCGAAATCTATATAATCTATATAATCCGAACAGAACAAAGAGTACAGGCGCTACGGAGGGAAAACTATAAAGAGTACTGGCGTCACCTTTCAAGTTGTGGTTTTCACCACAATGCCTGTGGAAACCTTGCGCATTTCCTGAATTATACCGTGTCGATGTGCCATGGAAGAAAACAACAAGATAATAAAGTGCTAGGCCGCCTGAACTCGGGAGATGCCACGGCTTCGAGTAATTTTCTACACAGAAGAGCTAGTTTTTTTTCTGTTCCTTAAGTTGCATTCTCAAGCAAGTGTAGCTACGGTAAACGACAAGATGTATGCTTCAAAATAACACGCTGAAATCGCCCGC